CTCCAGCACCTCGGGGGGTCCAGGTGGATGCAGCTCTGCCCTGATGATCCGCTGGGGTTAGGGGTCCTTCTCCAGCACCTCGGGGGTCCAGGTGGATGGCAGCTCTGTCCTGATGATCCGCTGGGGTTAGGGGTCCTTCTCCAGCACCTCGGGGGGTCCAGGTGGATGCAGCTCTGCCCTGATGATCCGCTGGGGTTAGGGGTCCTTCTCCAGCACCTCGGGGGGTCCAGGTGGATGCAGCTCTACCCTGATGATCCGCTGGGGTTAGGGGTCCTTCTCCAGCACCTCGGGGGGTCCAGGTGGATGCAGCTCTGCCCTGATGATCCGCTGGGGTTAGGGGTCCTTCTCCAGCACCTCGGGGGGTCCAGGTGGATGCAGCTCTGCCCTGATGATCCGCTGGGGTTAGGGGTCCTTCTCCAGCACCTCGGGGGGTCCAGGTGGATGGCAGCTCTGTCCTGATGATCCGCTGTGCACTTTTCAGATTAGGGGTCCTTCTCCAGCAGATCCGTTTCTCCAGAATTGTCAAAATTACAGAAAAAAACAAGACAAAAAGAAAAAAGTGAATTAACCATATTAAACAAAGGGTTGCAAAAGTATTATTGCAAAAATGTAACTCTCAGCATTTCAGACAAACAATCCCTAAAGGATCATTTAAAATGATGTGCTGTTCTGGTTTTTAAAAACTAAAGAGATGAAATGACAGTTACAGCTTGCATCCCTTTGATAGCACAAACTAACATCAAGCAAAAGGCTGCTGTCTATTTTTGATTGTCTTATTATTATTATGGGATCAGGATAAATTAAATACACTTTAACCTAAATAAAAGATGATCAAATCTGGTACTCATGGTCAGACCCGGCGCCAGAACAAATCTAAAGGGAGGGCATATGATTTCCATGGGAGGGCACACAAAACCGTCACGTGCTGCGGGCCTGCGGCACAATATATATCAAACAGCAAGGCCAACAGCATTGCGTAAAGACGCACACTATCGCAAATACATACACAAATAAAGGGCAACATAGCAACCACTTTGAAACATTGTGTGCGTGGCAGCACAGACACTGGTAAATCACGAGCAAGCCACACTGGTTACGGATGGCAGCTTCCTCATCGCTGCACTCGGAGAGAAATAGTAGAGACGGAGACGATGAGCTGTTTAGCCCGCCTTGGGTATGGTTTACGTTCCTATGCACTGCACTCGGACATGCTGTGGAGTGAATCGAGTCACCTCTGAGAGGGAGTTGGTTGACAGCTAAAAAAGCTATAATATCAACGACAGCTGACCAGACCCGGCGGCAGACATACATCTCTGGGCGGGCATTTGATTTACCAGGGCGGGCCCACCACGACACTTACATTTCCCGGGAAATCTGAATTGTCAACGGGGGGGGGGGGGCTGTTAGATGCTCGCGATTTGTCAACGGGGGGGAGGGAGGCGCTCATGAATTGTTGAAAGAGAGGGGTTTTAGGTTGCCATAAGGCTGTTGACGGTCTTATGTATCCATTGGTTGGTTTTGTGGCACATTTGTAACGCTGTGCCAACTTGGGCAAGCACGCAGGCAAACTTGAGCGCACACAGGGTGGAGAGGTGGAGTAAGGTTGAGCAATGGAGAGAAAGGGAGAGAGAGAGAGAGAGATTGAGCGAGGCAGAGAGCCTGTGCAGCGGTCTGCTTGCGCACAGAGCAGGAGTTTGTGAGAGAGCCGGCTTGAGAGTACATTTCTCTTCAAAATATAATTGATTGCCAGCTGACTTGCTTGCTCGTTGGTAACTAGGCCTAACTGATTTATTCTAATGTGCCTGCATCTGGCGCTGAGTTGCCATATTCCTTTCGTGAACCACTAGCTAGAGTAAACTAACTGACAGGCTGCTGTGCCGCATCTCACTCAAAAACCCACACGACTCAACCCAGCGAAAAACCAGTCTTGCGCGCAGCCTTTCATTCAGAATTTCCTAGCAAAATAAAAAAATTATATTAAACTAATACAAAAATAAATATTAGGACAAAGCCCTAGAAATAACAACAATAAACATAATAATAAAACAATACAAATGTGGTATTCAGCCTTTATTAAAACAGCGGGCCCAAATCCTGGATGGGCGGGCCCGGCCCCATGGGGCCGCCCATGACGCCGGGTCTGCAGCTGACACGTAATAACGGCTACGTGCCAGCTGATCTGCACCAAAGTTCTAATTTCCTTATTTGTTTCCTCGCTTATCTGTCTCTCTCTCTCCACAAACTCTCACATGAAATGTGTTCTTTTGATGCGGCATGCCTTAGCAGTCCTTTATCAGTCTGTAATGCGTGTTTCCAGTCGCAAAAACCTTTGACAGTAAAAGCCGCATCAGATGAAGACGTATTCACTTTAAACTGTCTACAGGGGAAACAAAAGGCTGCGTCTGCTTTTAACGAATATTCAAGCCATGCTCTGTTGTGCACCATCGGCTGCAGTTCTTTCATCGCTATTTCGTTTTAATAAATCCTTAGACCTTTTAAGCCCATTTTTGATGTCCATTTTGTAATTCAAACAGAAATGGGAGTCTACAGAAAGCACAATAAATAAATCCAGAATAGGCGGCAGAGTGTGACACTGTGATTGGTCTAAATGGGGACGAATCACAAATCACAACAGACACATGCATTTATTGGACGTAGCCTGGCGCCTGCGATTTTTTGTTGTTGTTCTGACATCAAATACATCGTAGCATAAAAGTTCACAGTTTATTTATAATTAAAAAAATTAAAAATATATATTTTTTAATTTTTATAAATAATAAAAAACGTGTTTATTGGGGGAGGGCAGGAATGTCAAATGGGAGGGCCTGGCCCTCCCTGGCCCTCCCACGGCGCCGGGCATGCTCATGGTATGAGTGTACATCAGATGTATCCTTCAAATTGGGGAAAAGTAGGCTGCATTCGTGGGCCGTGTCACTACCCGATCTGCAGCTCTGCCCGATCTGCTGTGCGCATGTGCGAGATGGTCCGCCATATTGGACAACTCCGGACGGCAACCCAAGATGGACACTTGACACAGTGGCTTTTAGCAAAGCTCAAAAATAAAACGAGAGAGAGAGATGAGTTATTGTTATTACAACGTGACTTCACTATTTTTTAACAACTCTTTTTATTGGGTTCTTTTATTTGGGGTTAAGTACATTGTCAGAATAAGTGAGGAATGAATTTAACTACTGTTAGACAGCTATCATATACTGAATACATATTTACTGTGAATGTGTGCAAAAATGTATGGCATATGGCTGTCTAACAGAAGTTAAATCCATTTCTCACTTATTCTGACAATGTACTTAACCCCAAATAAAAGAACCCAATAAAAAGAGTTATTAAATAATAGTGAAGTCACGTTGTAATAACAATAACTCATCTCTCTCGAGTTTTCCTTTTGAGCTTTGCCAAAAGCCACTGTGTCAATGTTGTCCTACTTGGGTTGCCGTCCGGAGTTGTCCAATATGGCGGACCATCTCGCACATGCGCACTGCAGATCGGGTAGTGACATCGGGTAGTGACAGCCGCATTCGGAGGAGTCTCGTCTTTTTTTTTAATGGCACAGCCTTCTTTCGGCGGAAGTGATGTATGCGGTCTACGAATGCACCATTCGAAGGATGCAACCCCTGAATTGAGACACGGCCATGTGTCCCTCGAGGTGGAAGAAGTACTCAGATAGTTTACTGAAGGAAACATACAAATACTACAGTGTAAAAATACTCTGTTACAAGTAAAAGTCCTGCATTGAAAGTATTTCGTAAGTAAAAGTACAAAAGTATTGGCATCAAAATATACTTAAAGTACCAAAAGTAAAAACATTTTTTTATTGTGCGTAGGTTCCCATTTTAGAATCATATATTATATATTACAAGATTATTATTATTGATGCATCAATGTTGTGATCAGAGCTGGTAAAGTTGGAGCTAATTCAATGCACTTGAACAATAAACTGGACTGGAGGGATAGCACTGAGGCTCTCTTCAGAGAGGGACAGAGCTGATCTTCCTGAGGAGGCTCAGGTCCTTCAGGCTGCTGCAGATGTTCTACCAGTCTGTGGTGGCCTGTGGGCTCTACTTTGTTGTGGTATGCTGGGGGGGAAATGCCAACAAAATTAATATGAATAATATTTGCACTGTATGTAAACAAGACTTTTGCCGCACTGCTACCTGCACATTCACATGTATATATATATTATATATAATTTTTTTTGTGTATATATATTTAAACTTTATACATATCTGTATTAACATTCACATGTTAAAATTCAGAGTTTAACTTTGACTCATGTCATTTTTGTTATTATGATGCATACTATTGCTCCATGTTTATTCTTATTTTATCTTACTTTTTTCATTATCCCAAGTGTACTATCTGTGTTTCTGTCTTATGCTGTTGCTGCCTTGACATTTGAATTTCCCTACGAAATCAATAAAGGTCCATCTTACCACATCACACCAAAAATGAATTCATAATAAGAATCAAATTATACCAAATGGATGTGCTGGTTTTCTTTTCTTCTGCCAGATTACAAACATTAAGAAAACACATCAGATCACTTATCAGTAAACTATATATTTTAATTGTTGGCTGTTGTAAATTAACTGCAGTTGAGTGAGCAAAATCAGCTAAAAAGGTAGCATTATGTTTAGATGTAATATTGGAGGATGAAAGGGTTGAACCTGTCACTATGTCACTGCCAGATATATGAAACACACAGAGGAAAACATAAGGAGTGACATTGAGAGTTATTATGCAGTGTTGTAAAAAGAACATGTCATGTGTTTATATACCCACATGTAACTGTGAGTGTTAATATAAATGAAGTAAAAAGTACAATATTTACTTCTGAAATGTATAAACAAGTATAAACTGGGTTTAAATGGAAATACACGAGTAAAATGGTACAATCCCTGAGTAGATGTACTTAGTTACTTTCCAGCACTAATGATTGGTTCTCTCAAGTGATGAGGGAAAGTGAGATTGGTCTGGTCCTCACTTCAGCTCAGTAGGTGGCGGTAATGCGCCTAAACGATAGGCTGCCAGCCGCCAATAAACCAACAGAAGAAGAAGAACCAGGATTCGGGATCAGGAAAGGAAAAGCAGTTTTTGACGGCTGGTCGAGGAATATAAGCAAACACCAAAATAAGCAAGTACTAACGTTAATTTAATATCAAAAACGATTTGCTCTTTTTGACAATATATAGCTTTATCTAAGTCTGTCAACAACACGCTTAGCCTTTTGATGATACCCAGTTCATACTAAACAACTGAAAGCTGTCAAGTTAGCTAGCAAGCTAACAGCTGAGCGTAATGTTGTACCGTTATTTACATCTACGTGTCATGCGGCAATTGTAAACAGTAGATAAAGAGGTTCAATGAAACTACCTTATTATGTCGATCACAAATGTGTACACAAACCATGGTAACTAACTAAACACATCAACGCAACGTTCTGTATTCTTTTATTTCGATCGTCTTGTATGATTGGACATTAGCCAGCTAACTTGTTAGCAAGCTAACAGACACAGTTGTTATTTAGACCAAGTTACACAAACTAATCACTTCAAGCAATAAAACAATGAAGTCTGAATCAGACATATTTTCCTTGAACTGTAAACAGGCAATGTAACACGTATCAATAGTGAGTAAACTGGTGTACCATAAAGTAAAACATGTATTTGTAATGTTTTTTTCTTTAAACATAACGGAAACTTACTTAACCCCCCTTTTTCCGTAAGTTGAAATCAGCTGTGTTGATGCTGTTTTCTAAAATTGGCCAATCTTGGGCCCAAACAAATCAGATCTATTTAAATCTTATTGTAAACATGGCAGTGAAGAAGCTTGTTTGAATGACATCTAACTTGTGAAACCCTTCCTGTTTGTGTTCAGACAGAGCTCTACACTTGAGGCAGCATCACTCTCTGGCAGACATGTCTTACGACAAAGCAGAGAGCTACCGCCCCGTCCTCCGGGACTTCAACACCCTCATCCAGACATGCAGCTCCAACATCCAGAAGATCACACAGAACAGTAAGTGCTCCATCGCAGCGTCAGTGGCTCTTCCTGCTACAACGAGAGCAAAAGCTGTGGCCAACAGGAAAGATACAAGATTTGATCTAAGTATGGAAATCTGAATTCCTTTGGAAAGTCATTGAGCACCAAGGCCTTTTCAAAATGCATTAAGTCTGCAAGAGGCTTAAAGTTTAAATCCACTCTGGATGCAGATTGGAATAGACTCTTAAGGAAGTCTACCCAGAATTCATAGGATTCTGAATATGAACCAAACTGAAGGCTGATATCACAGTGTATGGAATACATCTGAACCTCCAGGAGGACACAATTCCAACCACATGCTGTTGTTGCTCATACTTCCACTGTAAGGTTTTGCTACTTTTCTCTGTTTTCTATCAGAATCAGAAACGGGTTTATTGCCAGGTAGGTTCACACATACGAGGAATTTGGCTTGATGTCGTGGTGCATACATCAAATATAAAACAAAGAATCTTTAAGGACACTGTAATAAAATATAGTTAAATAGCAATAAAATAGAGCAGTAATTTACAGTGAAATAGATTGCAATTATAGAATATAAACTATTCTACATTGACATCTAAATAAGCTGGGCTTCAGACTGCTGACAAACAGCATCCTATATAAGGATGCTGTTTGTCGATTTTAGCTCAGCTTTTAACACCATCATACCTGACATACTAGTGGAACAACTGTCAAGCCTAGGTTTCCCCTCCATCTTATGCGCCTGGATTAATAATTTCCTTACAGACCGTCCTCAGACAGTGAAAATAGGCCCTTATTGCTCCTCCACCCGCACCCTCAGCACTGGCTCCCCGCAGGGCTGCGTGCTGAGCCCTCTACTTTACACTCTCTACACACACACGACTGCTCTCCCATTCACCCCTCCAACTCCATTATCAAATTTGCAGATGACCCCACTGTGGTCGGCCAAATATATAAGGGAGACGACGAGTCGGCATACAGAGACGAGATCCTGAAGCTGTCTGTGTGGTGTTCAGCAAACAATCTGTATCTGAACACAAGCAAAACAAAAGAAATCATCATAGACTTCAGAAAGCACCGTCCAGAACACGCCCCCCTTCACCTCAATGGAGAGAGAGTGGAGAGGGTCTCCACCTTTAAGTTCCTGGGGGTTCACATCTCGGAGAGCCTCAGCTGGACAGCACACACCACTGCAGCAGTTAAGAAGGCCCAGCAGATGGTCTACTGGGCGACCATCGAGAGCGTGCTGTAGGGCTGTGCGATTATGGCAACAATCATAATCACGATTATTTGGGTCAATAATTGATATCACGATTATTTTGACGATTATTCATTGAACTTTAAAACAAATAATATTTTACCAATAAACAAGATCAACAAATATGTTGGAGCGCACTTCCAAAACCATACTAAACATATATTATTAATATGATACATAAAAATAAATGAAATCAAACATGTTGCAGTGCACTGTCACAACCTGAAAACTCCTTAACATATAGCCAACATGTTGGTTCAACATATTCCACTCAGTTAAACGTTGAAGGCTGGCCAACCGTCATGGTCCAGAAGTAAACAGGAAATAAATGTTGAACTACAATTTAAGACCAAATAAAAATGTTTAGGCCACCATGGCAAATGCTGGTAGGGCTGCTCATGTCATCTCTTAAAGATGTTTTGCAAGAAACACCAGCCTGTTGACATGGTCTGGTTTCAGAGATGAGCGCAGGCAGGTGACAATATTGCCACCTGTACTGAAGACCCTCAGCCACGCCCTGACACATGGGGTGACGCCGGCCAATCACAAAGCTTTGATGCGTTCAAGTGCATTATTCTGGCACAGGAAGATTATGTTACAGGACATAAAACAGAATATTGTTGTTCTATTTTTAGACGCATCTCGCGATCGACTGGTTGGGCACCCCTGGGCTAGACCATAGGTCCGTTGTGGTGGCAAAGTAGTCAGCTGAAGCCACATCTCTCTCAACTTCCCCACGGCATTTGTCACATAATACCTGCTGAAATAATACCGAGACGGCATCGCGTAACGCTTGTCCAACGTGTTGACAAGTTGCTTAAAGCCCTGGTTGCTAACAGTGCTAACTGGGCACATATCTTTAGCGATGTGAAATGTAATGGCACCTGTAATATCTCTGTGTCTCTGCGAGCTCGTCGCGTAGGCCGTTGCTCTGTACAATGCGTCCTGAATCGATGACTGTGATGATGTTGTGGATGAAGTCAAGCGGGCATCTGCTTTTTGGTCTGCTTTTTGTTGTATTACTGCCCGGTCGTATTGCACTTTGTGGTTGTATTTCAGATGATTAAAGAGATTGGTTGTGTTAGCGTGTGGTGCCAACACAACCTGGTAACAAATCCTGCACTGTAGGCCTACTTTCTTTTGCTCCACGTCGGACTCCTGAAAGCCAAAGTACTTCCAAATAGTGGAAATAGTTGTACCCTTCTTTTTAACGAGTTGCTGCTCTTGTTCTGACATCTGCGCTTGCGCTGAACACTCACAACACATATCACTCCTACGTGGCCGAGTGGGCTTTTAGGGAGGGGCGAAGCGCACCCAGCAAAATAATCGTATTTTGTCAATTATGCTGTTTTCATAATCGTCACAAGCCATAATCGTAATTGCGATTAAAATACGATTAATTGCACAGCCCTAGCGTGCTGTCATACTCCATCTTGGGGTGGTATGCAGGATGCTCAGCTGCGGACAAGAAAGCCCTGCAGACAGTGATCAGGATGGCAGAGAAAACCATCTGCTGCCCCCTGCCCTCTCTGGAACACATCTCCACCTCCCGCTGCCTCAGCAGAGCTAACACAATCATAAAGGACAGCTCTCACCCAGCATCTCACCCAGCTCTCACCCAGCTCTCACCCAAGCTCTCACCAGCTCTCACCCAGCTCTCACCCAGCTCTAACCCAGCTCTCACCCAGCTCTCACCCAGCTCTCACCCAGCTCTCACCCAGCTCTCACCCAGCTCTCACCCCAGCTCTCACCCAGCTCTCACCCAGCTCTAACCAGCTCTCACCCAGGTCACACCCAGCTCTCACCCAGCTCTCACCCAGCTCTCACCCAGCTCTCACCCAGCTCTAACCCCAGCTCTCACCCAGCTCTCACCCAGCTCTCACCCAGCTCTCACCCAGCTCTAACCCAGCTCTACCCAGCTCTCACCCAGCTCTCACCCAGCTCTCACCAGCTCTCACCCGCTCTCACCCAGCTCTCACCCAGTCTCACCAGCTCTCACCCATGGTTCTCTCACCCAAGCTCTCACCCAGCTTCACCCAGCTCTCACCCAGCTAACCCAGCTCTCACCCAGCTCTCACCCAAGCTCTCACCCAGCTCTAACTCTCACCCAGCTCTCACCCAGCTCTCACCCAGCTCTCACCCAGCTCTAACCCAGCTCTCACCCAGCTCTCACCCAGCTCTCACCCAGCTCTCACCCAGCTCTCACCCAGCTCTCACCCAGCTCTCACCCAGCTCTAACCCAGCTCTCACCCAGCTCTCACCCAGCTTCACCCAGCTCTCACCCAGCTCTCACCCAGCTCTCACCCAGCTCTCACCCAGCTCTCACCCAGCTCTCACCCAGCTCTCACCCAGGTCACACCCAGCTCTCACCCAGCTCTCACCCAGCTCTCACCAGCTCTCACCCAGCTCACCCAGCTCTCACCCAGCTCTCACCCAGCTCTCACCCAGCTCTAACCCAGCTCTAACCCAGCTCTCACCAGCTCTACCCAGCTCTCACCCAGCTCTCACCCAGCTCTCACCCAGCTCTCACCCAGCTCTCACCCAGCTCTCACCCAGCTCTCACCAGCTCTCACCCAGCTCTCACCCAGCTCTAACCCAGCTCTCACCAGCTCTCACCCAGCTCTCACCAGCTCTCACCCAGCTCTCACCCAGCTCTCCCAGCTCTCACCCAGCTCTCACCCAGCTCTAACCCAGCTCTCACCCAGCTCTCACCCAGCTCTCACCCAGTCTAACCCAGCTCTAACCCAGCTCTCACCCAGCTCTCACCCAGCTCTCACCCAGCTCTCACCAGCTCTCACCCAGCTCTAACCCAGCTCTCACCCAGCTCTCACCCAGCTCTCACCCAGCTCTCACCCAGCTCTCACCCAGCTCTCACCCAGCTCTCACCCAGCTCTCACCCAGCTCTCACCCAGCTCTAACCCAGCTCTCACCCAGCTCTCACCCAGCTCTAACTCAGCTCTCACCCAGCTCTCACCCAGCTCTCACCCAGCTCTCACCCAGCTCTAACCCAGCTCTCACCCAGCTCTCACCCAGCTCTAACCCAGCTCTCACCCAGCTCTCACCCAGCTCTCACCCAGCTCTAACCCAGCTCTCACCCAGCTCTCACCCAGCTCTCACCCAGCTCTCACCCAGCTCTCACCCAGCTCTCACCCAGCTCTCACCCAGCTCTCACCCAGCTCTCACCCAGCTCTCACCCAGCTCTCACCCAGCTCTCACCCAGCTCTCACCCAGCTCTCACCCAGCTCTCACCCAGCTCTAACCCAGCTCTAACCCAGCTCTCACCCAGCTCTCACCCAGCTCTCACCCAGCTCTCACCCAGCTCTCACCCAGCTCTAACCCAGCTCTAACCCAGCTCTCACCCAGCTCTCACCCAGCTCTCACCCAGCTCTCACCCAGCTCTCACCCAGCTCTCACCCAGCTCTCACCCAGCTCTCACCCAGCTCTCACTCAGCTCTCACTCAGCTCTCACCCAGCTCTCACCCAGCTCTCACCCAGCTCTAACCCAGCTCTCACCCAGCTCTCACCCAGCTCTCACCCAGCTCTAACCCAGCTCTCACCCAGCTCTCACCCAGCTCTCACCCAGCTCTCACCCAGGTCACAGACTGTTCTCTCTCCTGCCTTCTGGGAGGAGATACAGGAGCTTCAAGTCACGGACAAACAGACTCAAAAACTGTTTCTACCCCTGGGCCGTCAGGCTGCTCAACCACCACACATAATGCATTAACTGTAACCATTCTCACACATACACACACTTTTAATGCACTTTATATACTATTTTTATATCAATATTTGTAACTATTTATTCCCCCGTATGATTGTATGTTGTCTGTCCTATTGCCGTGTTTTTAGTGTTATGTATTTGTTTGTATTTTTTGCACACCGCGACAGAGTTGCACTCTGAATGTCGTTATACTCTGTGTATAATGACAATAAAAGGCTTTAACTTAACTGTTGGACCAACAACACATTTCATGATGTCATCTTGTTCTCTGAGAAACAACACACATTGTATGACTTTTTCTAGTCTAAAAATTGAACCTTCAATTAGGAAAATGATCTCTTTGTAACTCTTTCAATGTACATTCAGGCATGTGTGTATCTATTCTGTCAAACAAAGACGACAAAACTGAATCTGAACCATGTAACACACTTGAATCTGTTTGTGTGAGTTAGATCCAGAGGATAAAGCTCTCTCCATTATATGTTCTGCCCTCACCTAAAGTATATGTTAATACAAGCTGCCATTCAGTGTGTTTTGTTTAGAATGAGAAGATGTTAAAGGTCCCATGTCATGCTTTTCCAGTTATTACACACACACACACACACACACACACACACACACACACACACACACACGATCTTTTCTCAGCTGCGGCTCTGCCAATTTCTCCTCCTTGAGACGGCGGGACGCGGCGTGTGTGTGTGTGTGTGTGTGTGTGTGTGTGTGTCGCTGTCTCGCAGACGGCCACTGGGCTCACAGGGGGGGGGGGCAGGAGCTCCCACAAGCCCCCACAAGCCGTGTAGGACAGAGAGTGAATACACAGACTATACAGAGATGCTGTGAGAAACCAATGTGAATCTATTCTAGTCGACCTGAACGATGGAGCTATGATCAGTGGAAATGGCCGTGACCTGGGACCTTTAACATGTTCGAGAGGAAACAGGAAACATGTTCAGTGTGTCATTACAATATGTTGCATTAGTTTAAGCAAAATCTTAATTTGAACTTAGTTTTTATTTTAATTATAGTATTCCACAAAACAGAAGCATGTTTGATGACAGAATGTTTTGCTGGTCTGCTCTCATATCTAATGACTTTCTATATAATGAGCGTTAATACAAAACAAGATGTTTTAAGCCATTGTCACATGCACTTTTCCACAGGACAGTGTTGCAGGATTTCCATACACACATATGTTCCTCTGTTAAAAGAGTGTGTGTTGTTCTCCTGACAGCTGCTCAGATCAAGAGCATAGTGAGCCAGCTGGGGACGAGTCAGGACTCCAGTCAGCTGCAGGACCGACTGTACGTATCTCTGACACACACACACCCCTGTTATCTTCATCTGTTATGGACAGTTGAAACTGCACTCAGAGCTGTCATACTCCCAATATAATCTTAAACCCTCCAAAAGGTCACGTGCCTCTATGATGACGTTATCAGGGATGCACGTTGAACAACAGTTTCACCCAGGAAACACATCAGATGTGGCTTGAACTACACTTTTTACATTAGAGTGACTTTATTTATCCCAAATGGGAAATTGTTCTGTTACAGCAGCAGAAAGTTAATAATACAATATATATATATATAATAGTTGTATAAAATACAAATAGAATAAAAGATAAACATCAACAGTAAATATATACTTATATATACAGGTCTGGAATAGATAAAGAAACCACTGGAGCATGATCAGTTTCTATGGTTTTACTATTTATAGCTATATGTTTGAGTAAAATGAAAAAAACCAAAATGTGATTCTATAAACTACTGACTACATTTCTCTGTGTTGGAATCCAACAGACACTGGAGTGGCTGCCGTACATGTAGAGATTGAGATTCAAGAAAAGAGTGGTCTCTTTCCAGAGCTGTATATATCAATAGAGTATCTGAAGAATACAAAGAATAACCAGTAAATTAGAATACTCATGTTTTGTATACAAATCTACTACAAAAACAGACAAACATAGACTATATACATTACAAACTGTGAAAACTGATGTTTCTTAGTTAACATTTCAATCTAATGAGGTAGCATGAGTTATGTAATATGTCAAATGTTTCTGATCATTGAAAGGGATGAACTATAAGACATGTTTCCACAGGCAGCAGATACAGCATTACACCAACCAGCTGGCGAAAGAAACCAACAAGCACCTGAAAGAGTTGGGGTCCATCCCTCTGCCCACATCCCCCTCAGAGCAGGTAGGTGTTGATTCAATACATCAGGATATTACGCATCACTACTGGGATGAGCAGCTTTGGAGATAGAGTGGAAGCTCCAGCCTCTGCACTGATGATGACACCTCTCCACAATTTATGTTCATTAAGATGGTGATGAAGAGGATGGGGAAATGCAGTTCTTCACACCGTTTGATGAAAACACATAGTACAAATACACACATGCATAGGAATGCATATGTTTAGAGAGGTGCCAGGTTGTCCGATTTCAGCAGTTGGGGGTTCGGTGTCTTGGTGAACTGGCACCTCTCCAGCTACTTGTCGGGACTTGAACCGGCAACCCTTCAGGTCCCAAGCCAAGTAGCTAGAAGTCCCCAGATTCTGCATTCGACCTATCCTAGTCAATAGTGCAGCTATAACGCACAGTGCCTGGGAGTAGTGTAGAGGAGGATGCCTTGCTCAGTGGCATTTGGTTGTTTCAGGATACATTACATCATCATAGGCGCCTTGCTCAATGGCACCTTTGGGGGTACTTGATAGTTCCGTGATGACGCTCTACAAAAGAGAGCGGTTTTGTTAGAAGAAACAGAGCGTTCTATTTCCACATGAACTTTGAAGACATTGAGAGAAACCTTTACTATTGATTGAGGATGATGATGCAAGAGAAGATTATGATGAGATATGAAAGGTTGCCTATGAACATAAATATAAAAAGTGTAGGCTTTTACCTGCATAAGGATGGAGAGAAAATCTAAGCTATAGTTAGCTTGCTAAATGTTTTATTAAATAGTATGGCTATATAGTTACTTTCACTAATTCCCTGTCCACCACTGGCCATGTGACAAGGCTTAGTGCGAGTGAGTAGTTAGTTCTGAAGCTTTCCAAGTCCAGATAGAAAGTCCCTTTGACCAAAGATCAACAGCCATGTTGCTGGAAATACTCTATAACAGTCTGTTTACTGTTCTTTAGGGACTTACAGGTCATTATGCCCTCTCTAGGGTCCAGTGTATTTAGCTAGGAACACATCTCCTTTTAACAACTCTATTTATACAGTCTTTAAAGGAGTATTTTCAGACAAAACTACATTTTAGAACACTCCCTTGAACACGTCATGCTAATGATATATTTAACCAAACACCATTTTGTATCTTTTACCTAATAGAACCATTCTATAAACTTTAAGGAACTAACCTGCTGATTGTAAAAAGGATCTGTTCACTATGTAGTACTGTATCAGGGAATCATAGGGTGAGTTCAGTGTCACCCAACACATTTGATATTGCCTTGGTTGCTTCTTATGTACTGTCGTAAAAAACTGTAGTTTCACATTTTCAACTTGGTACGAGAGCATCAGTCCTTGTGATATCCCTATTTATGATTATAGCTATTCCCAGATAGTATAAGGAAGGCAAGCCCAGTTATAAAATGTGCGTTTGCAGGCCACACCCGGGCCCCCCTCCCTGTCATTTTACCAAGCCAGATCATTCAGTTAAACACTTTTCAAGGACAGTCTTTTTAACTGATCTCCTCATGTCTCCTTCTGTGGTGTCCAGAGGCAGCAGAAGATCCAGAGGGACCGGCTGATGAACGACTTCTCAGCTGCTCTCAACAACTTCCAGGCGGTGCAGCGGAGCGCGGCGGAGAAGGAAAAGGAGTCTGTGGCTCGGGCCAGAGCCGGGTCCCGCCTGTCGGTGAGTACAGTCAGGAGATAAAGACTCCAGGGAGGAAATGTCAGATCCATGTCAACTGTGTGAACTTGATAATCTTTGTTTCGCTAACATGACTTTGGCAATAGTGGATTTTCTCCTCCCCCGCAGGCTGAAGACACTTCTCGGGATGAGAGGCTCGTTTCCTTTGATAAGTAAGTGACTGTCGTTCATTAGGTTTGTATTGAAACCCAAAGTCTTCAAGATAATGATATCTATAATATTAATAATTTGAAACATTATTTCATAAATTATCATTGATAAAAATACAGACAAAATATATACGTGAGCTTCTAATTTGAGTCAGTCTAATTATTTTTGATAGCAGGAAATGACCTCGCTGTATCATTAATATGTTCTATTGTAGTGACATTTACCTCACAAATCACATTAGTCCAGTCAATTGTCATTTTAGTTTTAAAACCAATCACAAAGTCAAACTGTAAGAACAGATGCAGGTAACGAGAATAAGACATAAAGATTCCCCACCCTTCTAAATATAAATTCACCAAACAGAACTGTGATTGGACGGTTGACAAAGTCTTTCAATCTGAACAAATAAAAAGCTCCTCTGCACCCCCCCATGGAACCGTTTGTGTTTCATTTTGAAGATAAATATAAAATGCTTTCAATAATTTGTCTAAATAATTGTAAAATAAAACCCGAGAAAAGTATAAACAATAATTCATAATTTTTGATTAATAATAATAAAAATAAAGAAACTATAATAAAGAATAAATAAATATGGAAATAATACTGTGTCTGTGGGACAACACATAGCCGACCCAGTCTTCCTGCATGACACAAATCAAAACTAATAATTCCATTTTAATATCATGTGCTGTTATCTGTTGAATGCAGCTATGTGGAGCACTCTGGCCCTCCCCTCTTGGATAATAAAGTATATCTTATCTTCTATAAATGTCACTCCACGTGTTTAAATTGGTTATTTAAAAGTTGATGTGCTGTCATGACTCATGAACATACTATTGAGTTTCAATTTTCCACGAAAGAGAAGTTATAAAAGTGTTTGTTTGCAGTCAACGATAGTTCTTAGGGGAAAGATATACATCGTCCAAGGACATTGCCCCTCTATAAGCAATATGTTATATTTCACTTTATGTATGCATATTTAGTCTTCCATACAAAAATCAAGCCAGTAATAAGTGAACTCAGATTGATGGAAGAGGGTTAGGGGATCCTAATGGCACAACATTTGAGATCTGACCAGTTTTTAGTTTTATAATTAAAGTCATAATTATCAAACAAAAAAGTAAGTCAACTTTTATTCAGAACTGAAACAAAAATGCACAGATAGAATGTGTTAATAATAAAGTACTTAACATAACTTCAGTTTGTGTAGAATTTCTTTCATGTATAGAATTGTAAAAAAAGAGAATGAGCCTCAGCAATGATCAGTGCTCAAGGAGCTCAGCTCTCGTCCTGAACACGAGAAGTCTCTGCTCATTATTCCAACGTGTTGCTCTCTTTGAAAAGTGTCTTCCTGTTTGTGTAAAGCCAGGAGGACTGGGGTCAGATGACCACCCAGACAGAGGAGGCGCCTATTACAGAAGAGGACCTGGAGCTCATCAAGGATAGAGAAACCAACATCAGACAGCTGGAGGTCAGCCTCACATCCCATGGCTGCCTGCCTGCTTAGTCTACCTTCACGCCTGCCACAGCTGACTCCAGCCTCATGTCTGTGTGTTTGTGTGTTTCAGTCGGACATTTTGGATGTAAACCAGATCTTTAAGGACCTGGCAGTGATGATCCACGATCAGGGAGAGATGATTGGTGAGCGGCACTGAACACACCACCAGGGGACCATGCACATAAACACATCCGCTCCACTTATTTTCTATTCAACTCGCACACCACTGAAGTGAAACCATATGATTGCATATGAGAGCATATACCTTTCACCACACAATACAGGGTTACAGGATAAAGAATAATTATGTCAGGCCATTTTTGTCTCTAGAATTTGAAGGATATCAAGTGTGTATTTACTATACCAGAATATAAAGAGCAGACAAAGTATTCATATTTCTCACAATGATGTAGACATGATACTGAGTAAATAGGAGGAAAACAAATGTTTTGATTTAAAAGCATAAGACTCAAAATAATGTGTGCTGTGTGTATTCATAATCATTTCAGAATACACAGAAATAATGTTTAGAGAAATAGAAAAAAGCTTCTCCAGTGAGGTTAAAGTTAGGTTGTTTCTCGTAGGCCGCAACATTAGAATAAGTTTAGGAAACTAAAACTACTGCAGCCTTTATTCTCGACAGACATTTATCATTCGCTTCAACTAAATGTGTTATGCTTTCTCAGGATAATGGGAACAAAGGTGACCAATCATGTTATTTTATTGGTGTCTCATAATTTAAATGATAATGATTCTTTCATTATTCTGGCAATGAGAGTAATTATTAAAACATGTAAGTCACACAGCCAGCAGCTCCTTACAGCTTCAAACTGTGTAAATTCCCCAATATGCACATAGTAAAATGGTTATTCCCTCGCCTGAGAAAGTATTATAACTTAAAAGCAGTTTATTCAAAAGTATGAAAAGGTAAGTAAAGGTTGATTAAGCTGTTATTGTTATGCAAAGTAATAGCACTTGTACTCTAACAGAAGTACCATCACAAAATAAGGCAATGTGGAAGCGCACTATAACAGGAATATAAGTTGAATAACAAAAATTCCAAAAGAAAGGAAGGTTCGTCAACTGTACTAGGAAAACACAGTATTTGACATGTAATGTCCGTTTGATATCTGTGCGGAAACTAATACAAATATTTATAAAAAAAAGAAAGGAAGGTTCAAGTAAAGACCTGGACTGTTCGTTTTCACCGTAAGAGCCCTCTGACTTCCTACCAGCTGACCTCGCTGTTTGTTCCGCTCGCAGATAGCATCGAGGCGAATGTGGAGAATGCTGAAGTTCATGTGGAGCGAGGAACAGAGCAGCTGCAGAGAGCCGCCTACTACCAGGTGAGTGTGCTGCCCCCTGTGCTGACCCTGAGGGGAGACCCTGCCCCTAACACTCTGTCTCTGCTTCTGATTCTACAGCAAAAGTCCCGGAAGAGGATGTGTATCATTGCCATGGTTTGCTCCATAGTGCTCGTCATACTTGCCATCATTATCTGGCAAGCTGCTAAGTGAGTTGATTCTGCACAACCGATGTGTCACTTCTGTCACTTCCTCCCACTTGCAAGTCCCTGCTCGGCATCATGAGAATAGGAAGAGGCTGAGAACATCACCGAGGATTAGGTCTGTGCAGATGGGTGGTCCAAAGCATCTGAACTGATCACGCCTGTTTTTATAAAATGTTATAACGAAAAAACCTCCTATTTAAACTGACATAAAGGACTGAGGTGATGGAGGGGAGCGATCATTCATTTCTTATTTACTGCACTAACATTAGCTCTCACTGTATTTAAAAAAAGTATCTTATTGTCAATGAAAGGAAACAACTTGTTAAAGTGGATTCATGTGTTGTTTTAAGCGGTGTAACTTTGTTTCTTATGATGTAAAGTGTGTGAGTGCCTGGCATCCCCTGTAGCATTACACAGGACCTGTATGACTCCTGGTGGTGACGTCTGTAATATACATGTTGTAAAGCTCTAACAGATGATCAATATCAATCTAATCCATGTCTGTAAATACTACAAAGCGCTGCATTATATTCTAAGTACACTATGGATCATAAATAATGACAGTATCTCAACAATGAAAGTCACGTCTTCAAACAACACATTTTTAGATTGATTTCTATGACTCTTGACAGTATGCATAATAAATGTCTTAAACACGTCTGGAGGTGTCATCAGTTGTGTGTCCACATGTCATCTTTGGGGTTCTTAAAGGTAAACTGCACTTTATTTACTTTTTGTTTTCATAATTTCATGTCAGCTTTGATATAGCAAAAAAACAACTGAAAACAGTAGGATACTGCATGGCTGACAGACACATCAATGCCCAGACACACTTTCAACTATATATATCTGGCAGTGCAGGTAAACACAATAATAATATAATGTAATATACACGTAATATGTGTAATGGATGAAGTGGACTATGGTGGCACAGTGGAGCATTACCAGATCATCTTCATCTCATACCCAACAGCAACATTAGGTACATATCACAATCAGACAGATGATCACAATAATAATCTGGGGTTAATCATGATTAATCACAGGGGGGCGGGCGTTCCTGGTTGATTTTTGTTCACAAGACCTAGCCATTGGAAGCAGGCCCAGCCACAATGTTGTAGAATACAAACACAGCAGCAAGCTGTGGGACAGCCTCCCCTCTCTCCGGCAGAAACAGGAAATGCCGTAACTGTGTGTAACAACGGTTTCAAATCAGCATCTCTTAAACAAAAAGTTTAAATGAATAACTCAAATAAAACTCCAAACATCTTTCATTGTGTTTCAAAGCTCTTTTAGTTTTAAACCTGATGTTTATAAGCTTCTTAGTTTTTGCAGCGGTCTGTAAATATACACAACTTTATAATAAAATGCACAATTTTACCTTTTTCTAGACTAAACACAGGTATGATCCTAAGTTAAAAACATATGAGGTTATCATGAGGTTGTTAACATCGCAGTTTATCAGTGGTTAGGGTCAGCTGGAACTACTTGTAAACAGCGTGTTTCCTGACGGACACACACAGCGTGACTCCGGTCAGGTAGAGACCGGTCTCAAGTCAGCACCGCTGCAGACTCGCTGTTTGAGGGCTTGATAGCCCACTCCGCCTCCACACTCGTTGCTTTGGAACAGCCCTCAATATGGCGGACCCTCCGCGTGAACGCGCAAACGGAGGGGTAGGGTGTAGGGGGCGGTTTGGGAATGGGCCTTAGAGAATTGGAACGGCACTTAACATGGCTGCCTGCCACTGACGTACTTCCGGGTCATTTCACTTGGTTTCTAAGCTAAATGGACTATTGGAACGCAACCAGGGGTTGCATACTTCGAAGGGTGCATTCGTAGACCGCTTACGTCACTTCCGCCGAAAGAAGGCTGTCCTAATTTAAAAAAAAGACGAGACTCCTCTGAATGCGGCCCACGAATGCAGCCTACTTTCCCCCAATTTGAAGGATACATCTGATGTACACTCCGCGGCCTACCATATCCCAGGTTGCAATGCGCGCAGGGAAGAGGGAGTTTTTCTCAAATGAAATGGCTTCCGGGTTGTATTCCAATAGTCCATTTAGCTTAGGAACCTTCCTAACGGAGTGAAATGACCCGGAAGTACGTCACTAGCAGCCATGATAAGTGCCGTTCCAATTCTCCAAATGAAAGGAAAGGAGGTTTCAAACTTCCTTTATAACCTCCTTTAGCTTAGGAACCACTGGACCTCCCTAACCAAAAGGAGAGGAGAAAATGCTGCCCCACAATGCATTGCAGCCGCAGCATCAGTCGGCCGTTCACGGAAACAACCGATTATGACGGAGAAATTATATCATGAAAGTTACGGTGCTTATTAAGCATTTTAAAACGTATGTGGTAAGTTGCCAAAGTGCTTTGTTTTGAACGTTCATCAGTATTATAATCAAAGAGAGAAATATGAACGTTAGTTTTGACTGAAATGATCAAATAAAGTCAACATCTCACAGTCTTTACTGAGCTGTGTGGGGTTTGTTCAACTTTTAAGGACTAACGTTTATAATAAATACATTTGTATTGATTTTAAGATATTTTCATAGTTCATACAATCATACGTATTGGGATCATTTGTATAAATGTGGACCGGAGGGAGAGGGCAGAGATGTTCACAAGTCTTTTTTTGCAAGTCCAAGTCAAGTCTCAAGTCTTTGGTCACGAGTCCAAGTCAAGTCTCAAGTCTTTGTGGGGTGAGACTTGATCAAGTCTCAAGTCTTTGGTCACGAGTCCAAGTCAAGTCTCAAGTCTCTAAAAAATAAAAGTCTTATGTCTCTTCTGGTTGTAATAAGCCTTCTATTGTCTGCTGCTATCCAGTCTGTTAAGAATACTGCACAGCTATATCTAAGAAATTCAAAGCATGTACTGTATTATTATCACTCCTATATCTATTAGCATACAGTATCAGTACTGATTAGTTGTTTGTTATATGATCACTTTAAACAGGCTATTGCAATGCAATATGAGGAAAAACATCACACTTTAGCTAAATGCAAACAACTTATAAGCAAAACACTTCAGAATCAGAATCACAAATACTTTATTAATCCCCCGCAGGGAAACTGTGTTAAAAGTACTTAAAAGAAAACATTTGTTCTTTGCAACTAAAAAACTATTGCTGCAATATTATCTGAAATATACTGAACTGGTGATATTAAAACATGACCTGTTCCAAAAGAGATATCTACCATTAACACCATTTACCAGCCAAATGCTGGTAAATCATGCAAGTGGCTGGTACTGTATGTTGCACGCACCAGCCACAAATAACAATGGCAATCTATTGAGTGGCTGGTAACATTTCAACATTCACTAGGCTAGCCATTTGGCCAGTGGACAAACATGTTAAAATGTGACCTCTGCAACCGTATTGTTTAATTACACTGGGTCTCTAATGACATCTTTTAAGTCTACTATAAATAAACATATTCCTCTATCCTCTCACTCAAACCCAGTGTAATGGTAACCTGATAAACCTGTAACATTAACGTTACGTGGTCAACAATAAACCTGTAACCTGCCTATAAACCGACAGATGTATTTATGTATGTAACTATGTATTGTTCTACGTTTAACGTTAGCCAGTAGATGGTGGCAGCGGAACGTAATGATTAACGTTACCGACCTTTTTTATGTCATGTCAAGAGTTGGATGTCAACGCCACTCAACGCAAACAAGTGTGACAAGCAAACATTCACTCATCTTTTCAAATATTCAGTTACAAAGCTAGTAGCAAGCTAAGTTAACATTACATAGCTGATGCTGAGCTAAACATGTTTGCTAACTGTCCATATGCGTTAATGTGACTGACCTCTCCGGGTGAGTTTTCAAGTGCCTGATGAAATTTGACGTTGTTGCACCAGCATCCTCGATTTTAATATTGCAGACTTTGCAGTGTGCGCTCCTTTTGTTGGTGCCGCCGGCGTTTTGTTCGAAGTTTTTATAGTTGAACCTAATTACAAGCGGTACAGCTGCAGGTGTGCCGCCGGTCGCCATGGTGTTACCATGATGTTAATGTTAAAGGTGGGGTAGGTACGTTTGAGAAACCGGCTCGAGATACACTTTGTGTTATACTCCATGGAATGCTCTTAACATCCCGATCGCCGGCCCGGCTAAAATAACTGGATGGCCTACCTGCCTGTCAGCCTTCCATCGGGGCACAAACTTATCTCGTGCCCTCATTGGTCATGTGCGCGTTCGTGTGTGTTGGAGGAGGGGCTCTGTGAGGAAGTGGCAGATTTTCTCCGGTTGTGTATTTTCAAATTCTAGCGATCTCAAGCCGGTTTCTCAAACTTACCTACCCCACCTTTAATACGCCAAAAATAGAAAACACAATGATTGTTCACGAGTCCCAAAACACGAGTCCAAGTCGAGTCCGAAGTCTTTTGAGCAGGAGTCCAAGTCAAGTCTGAAGTCTCTGTGTGTGCGACTTAAGTGCGACTCGAGTCCGAGTCACAGACTCGAGTCCCCATCTCTGGGAGAGGGTGATGAGCATAAGTTTCACTTTCCTTTTTTATTTCAATTCCAACTTTGGTCATGAAGAATATGTTTCTCTGTTGTCCCCGTTCATAAAGCATAAAGCAACAGCATCAGAGCACGGTGCAGAGTCTCTAGATGAGTTTACAGTAGTCCCTCGTTCTTATTAAACATCCATGTTGTAGTCCGCTGTATAGAAAACTGTAGTTTCCATAGTTTCCCCACAGCAGCAGACGCACATTCATGACGTCCGCTGGCGCATCATAAACACGTCGGATAGTGAAAGTGCAGTCGATTCTCTAAAGTACCGCAGTCTCTTCTCCTAAGTCCTTTTGAATTCTCCTATCCACTATCCCTTAACCCCGTGACGTTTGACTCAGAGGTCAAGGAATAGGAGATAGGGTTAGAATTTAGGAGCTGATTTTTGGATTATCGGAACGCAACCCCGGTCTCCCCAGCAGAGTGGATTTAAAAGCAGCAGCAAACGGAGGAATCACTAATAAATGTGAGTATTGGGTTTTAACTTACTTTAAATTAACTAACGTCACACACGTCAAACCCAAGTGGCATTAAAACGTACATTTTCGTTAAATAATACGGATAAATATGTGACGCTAACTAGCTAGCTGGACGTACTGCACTGTTGTTTACACTTATTTTTTATTCAATTCAGAAGTTTACTAAAGTCATACAGAGACCTTGGCTCTGTTATAGATAAGTTATACTTTATATTACATACATAGACCAAAGTGAAAACATTTAGACCGGTATTCTTTCACACACACATACGGGTATTGGGCCGAGGGCGACACCGTACTTCCGGTATCCGCCGTTTTACGCGAGGTGCAAGCATGGATGTATAATAAGAACTGGATACAGCGTGGGAGGCGGGGCCTCATTCATTCCTATGAGAGTTGCTCATTGGCGCATGATGATAAAATGGCCCAACTTTTGAGAGAGCGAAACGTCACAGATTACCCAGCATGCCTGAGAAGTACCTGTATGTGCGCTCATAGCGCATGCGCAACTTTAACCAAAATGCTCGTTCACATCAAGCACGTCAATTTGCGTACACGTAACAGCACCGCGCGTTCATGACAGCATGGTAATGGGTGTTGTTATCATGGATTTGATATTAACGAGACGGCAGTTAGCAGCTAGCGGCTAGCTAGTAATGATGCTAATGTACACATCAATCGTTATGTACTTATATTACGTTGTAACAGGATCTAGTGATATCCAAGCAACAGAGCTTCATTTAGCATGAAATAATTATTGCACTGTAGGCTATATATATATATATATATATATATATACACATACACACAGTGCAATAAGCTTCTTAGTGCAATAAGAAGCTACAGGGACGTTAATCTAACGTCGGTAATATTAACTTTATGTTGGGTTCAGACAGTCAAATTGAACCGTGTAGCATACCCGGAGATGACCTCCTCCCTGTCAGGTCGCTCATAATGGTGCAGGGTCCACAAAGACTTGGTCGAAGATGAGGTCCATCAAGTTGGCCACGTAGCCTATGCAATGTTAAAAAAAGCACAACAAAAAATGTGGTTTAGATTAGTATATGCATGTAAAAAACTGAAAGTTCTTTCTAATTTTTTTATTTTATATTTGTAAATAGTTGTATAATAAATATTTTAAACACTTACGGAATGTGGGGTCAGTCTTTACTGGTTTTGCTCTGCATTCTCCCTTCCTGGCCTTTGGGAACTGCAGTTTATACAGAGGGTTTCCAGTGGATGTTGGCTTGTGCACGCTCAGCATTTTCATTGTAGTGCAGGGCTGCCAGGTACAGTCTTTCATTTCCGCCATGATAAAAAAAAATGTAAATAATAGCAAAGGATGTACAAATTGTCACTAATTAGTAAGTGTGTGAGGTGCTGGCCTGTAAAGAAGAAAACATAGTTAGAACAAAATCATCTCAATTTAGTGTTCAGGATGAGAAAATACTATTTGGATAAATATCGTCTGAAATCCCAAAAGATGGGGCTTAAAACTCTCTATTTAGCAAAGCTCTTTGCTTAGCCTTTTCCAATCTGAGTTAGTTTTGAACCGTAACGTGCATGCTGTGTTTCTGACTCAATACAGATGATGTGTTGGAGAGGGGCTGAGCTCAGTAGACTGACTGTAATGAGTGCTAGCCACTAATTAGCCTGTTGCTAGGTAAGGCCTCGTCAACAACAACAGACCAACGGGGCTTTAGCTCCGTTTTACTCGTGGTGTGTGTCCCCCCTCGCATACATACACACAGTGTTGTATCCGAACACACCCCCATTTATATTCATGTGCGCAAACAAGTAAACACACAAAAGCTTTTACATATAACGCTGCAAAAAACGGCATGTCTCATTAGCTTAGCGTAGCTTAGCTTACAGATCGATGATATCTGATCGTTCTTACAGACTACAATCACAAAAGCGTTTTACATATAACGCAGCAAACAAAGGCACTTACCTACAGAAGATTACGTTTGTTATTATAACTTACTCAATATGATTTTAGAGGATACAAAATACTAATAAATAGGAGAATAAATACTTGTGTTATCGGCTAGGGCGTGGCTTTACAGCCTTCACACAGATCGCCATTATGGCAGTATGTCTGAACATTAGGGCTGTGCAATTAATCGTATTTTAATCGCAATTACGATTATGGCTTGTGACGATTATGAAAACAGCATAATTGACAAAATACGATTATTTTGCTGGGTGCGCTTCGCCCCTCCCTAAAAGCCCACTCGGCCACGTAGGAGTGATATGTGTTGTGAGTGTTCAGCGCAAGCGCAGATGTCAGAACAAGAGCAGCAACTCGTTAAAAAGAAGGGTACAACTATTTCCACTATTTGGAAGTACTTTGGCTTTCAGGAGTCCGACGTGGAGCAAAAGAAAGTAGGCCTACAGTGCAGGATTTGTTACCAGGTTGTGTTGGCACCACACGCTAACACAACCAATCTCTTTAATCATCTGAAATACAACCACAAAGTGCAATACGACCGGGCAGTAATACAACAAAAAGCAGATGCCCGCTCGACTTCATCCACCACATCATCACAGTCATCGATTCAGGACGCATTGTACAGAGCAACGGCCTACGCGACGAGCTCGCAGAGACACAGAGATATTACGCGATGCCGTCTCGGTATTATTTCATTCGGTATTATGTGACAAATGCCGTGGGAAAGTTGAGAGAGATGTGGCTTCAGCTGACTACTTTGCCACCACAACGGACCTATGGTCTAGCCCAGGGGTGCCCAACCAGTCAATCGCGAGATGTGTCTAAAAATAGACCATGTAAACAGGCTGGTGTTTCTTGCAAAAAATCTTTAAGAGATGACATGAGCAGTCCTACCAGCATTTGCCATGGTGGCCTAAACATTTTTATTTGGTCTTAAATTGTAGTTCAACATTTATTTCCTGTTTACTTCTGGACCATGACGGTTGGCCAGCCTTCAACGTTTAACTGAGTGGAATAATGAATATGTTTTACCAAAATGTTGGCTATATGTTAAGGAGTTTTCAGTAGGTTGTGACAGTGCACTGCAACATGTTTGATTTCATTTATTTTGGTCTAATTTATTTTTATTTATCATATTAATAATATATGTTTAGTATGGTTTTGGAAGTGCGCTCCAACATATTTGTTGATCTTGTTTATTGGTAAAATATTATTTGTTTTAAAGTTCAATAAATGGTCAATGAATAATCGTCAAAAATAATCGTGATATCAATTATTGACCCAAATAATCGTGATTATGATTTTTGCCATAATCGCACAGCCCTACTGAACATGTTAGCAAATGCCTGATAATTAAAATAAAAGACAAAGCAAAGACTGCGGAGCGTACAAAATAAAATGTTACAAAAACATATAAACACCTAACCGATTACTATTTGGGTTTGAGGCGACATTGATACGGCGAAGCTACATGCTACAAGCTAGAGATAGCTTTATCAGGAAAAACACCGCTAAATAAAAACTTACAGCTTCAAAATTGGATGTGTCCTCACTGGCCTGGTCCCGGATGGTTGGTATTGATCCCGGGTTTAGCATTAGTTTGGAGGCATATCCGTGTTGGACTTGAGAGAAGTTCATAAACATGTCCGTCGTAAAATGTTTGGAACACAGTCACACCAACAGAAATCTGCCGTGGTCTTCTGGCCATGGATGTATATTAAGAACTGGATACAGCGTGGGAGGCGGGGCCTCATTCATTCCTATGAGAGCTGCTCATTAGCGCATGATGATAAAATGGCCCACCTTTTGAGAGAGTGAAACGTCACAGATTACCCAGCATGCCTGAGAAGTACCCGTATGTGCGCTCATAGAGCATGCGCAACTTTAACCAAAATGCTCGTTCACATCAAGCACGTCAATTTGCGTACACGTAACAGCACCGCGCGTTCATGACAGCATGGTAATGGATTGTTATTATGTTGGATTTGATATGAACGAGGCGGCAGTTAGCAGCTAGCTAGTAATGATGCTAATGTACACATCAATCGTTATGTACTTATATTACGCTGTAACAGGATCTAGTGATATCCAACAGAGCTTCATTTAGCATGAAATAATTATTGCACTGTATATATATATATTTATATAGGCCTACAGTGCAATAAGCTTCTTAGTGCAATACGAAGCTACAGGGACGTTAATAATGTCAGTAATATTAACTTTATTTAATACAACATTTACGGTACAAGATGTAATCATACAGCCCATGTAGTATGATAATGAATTACAGCAAACATGTGCAATATATCCATTATTACAGCTCCGTGGGATGGCAGAAAGACGATATGGATCCGTTCTTATTGTGCATCCATGGGTAAAGATAAACGCAACTCACATTGGTTTCTCATACAGCATCTCTGTAAACTACGTGTATTCACTGAATTTCACTCTCTGCCTTTAACGGCTCGTTGTAGCTCCAATAGCTTCAGCCCCCACCCAGTGTTGCCAACTCCATAGTAAGAAAAGTAGCTATTGGCTGTCCTAAAGTCGCCAGAAGTCGCTAAATGACGTCATCGCCTAATTTGCATATCATGTAATGGCGGCTGTAGGCAAAAAACATTCCCAACCCTTCAAAGATCAAAACTTGAAACCACCGGAGTTAAATCCAGACGACAGTAGATCAGAAATGTATTTTTCTTTTTTTAGTATGTTTTGGGGTTTTAACATGACAGTTTGGCATAGAAATCCCCCTTACAATAAAGGCAGTATGCCCGTGTGTCATCTCCAATAAATGGCTTCAACCATCCTTTATACTCAGGGTTTGATTCCCACTCCTTTCTGTATTTTTGAGAATACAATTTAGACTGTGCCATGATGTTTAGCTTGTCACAGAGAGGCACACACACAGTGGACGAGGTGATTGAGTGACTGAGGCTGTGTGAGGCAAAGCAAAGCAAAGGCAGTTATTTATTATAGTGTGAAAGTGAGTGAAGAAACATTTACATTCAACATTTAAATCCCGCTCGAAACCAGGACGGCTTGGCAGTTGGCGCATGCGCAATTCATTTGCAGTCTCGACGCGGGGGAGTGTGGTTGTCTCCTCTCTGCTCTGACTGCAGCAGCAGCTCTGCTGCGGCCAGGCAACTGTCAGTCTGAGCGCCTGTGAGTACTATGGGAGGGAGGCGGGGCTCACGGCAGCACCCGCGGCTCGTTAACTGCAGAACAATGTGAGTCTTGTAGTGAAAGATTTGTATTTATTCATGTTAGCAAACTATGGATAAGCTTAAAATGGGAATAATTTGGGTAAAACTGTGAGCTGGATTTGGGGCCTGTTGACATGTGTTTTTGAGGACAAAGGAAGATGGGGGAAGGTGAGAGCATGTCTTGATTTGCATTCAACTTATCTAGCTACAGTGGTTGGGGAAACCTAAGGTCGGAGGTGTCTGTGATATTTGGGCTGCCAATCAATGAGCTCCAAATGGGAGGATCTGATAACTCCTCCCATTGTCAAAGACTATAAACACAGACACACACGCGGTGTTCAGCCTCTTTCCTCTGGCTGGCTCACGTGCAGGTAAATTCGGGATCCCAAAGATTAACTGTATTGAATTTGTACTGTATTGATTTTATTGTATTGTCATATTACCATTAAAATAGATTATTGTTTACTTGGTAGCTCTGGATTTCTTCCTGTATTAACCAGCTTGATAGGGACGCGCAGAGATTTGAAAAGCGGACCAGATATCCCTTTAAATCTCTAACAGTCTCCAAACACCAGAAAAGTCGCTAATAACACCATTATAAATCGCTAGATTAGTCGTTAGTCGCTTTTGACACAAATAAGTCGCCGGAGGGTTTGGAAATCCGCCAAATTTAACGAGAAAATCGCCAAGTTGGCAACACTGCCCCCACCCTCCCTGTGAGCACAGTGTGCTCTGATTGGTCGGGACACGTAACATGAACGTGCCGGGTGGCGCGGTCCCGTGGGCTAGATGCGCGTTCATAATGCAGAGGGAAATAACTCTCAGAATAACGTTATTAGCACATTATTACAACTTGAGGAACGAATGTTTTTAATAAGGGCTATACAAGTGTTCATACTGGGTAGTTTATTTAGTTTCAAAAAAATTATCCAACGAGTTACAGACCACTCTTTCCCCATGTAAGTCAATGGGAAAAAGTGTTTCCGGGCCTGGCAACCAAACGGAAGTGTAGTACCGCCGTTTGGCCAGCACGAATATTTTCATCTGAGTCCGGCGCACTTCCTGGGGGCTTGCTTCTGGCACATGTCCCTTGAAAATGAAGTCTAGCCACAGATTATTTTCTTTTTCCACTGATGGCATTGCATGCAGTCCCCTTTCTCGAGTCTTGCAGCCAACAACAGCACAACGTTTAACTGGCTTAGACATCCTGGCAAGAGCAGGCAAAAACACAGATGTGACTGGGGTTGATTTAGCCTGCCGATAGCCTATATGCGAATGAGAGGTTTGGCAATGCACGTGGCCGTGGCTCATTCCCCTGATAGGTGGAGAGTTGACCAATAAGCGGAGCACGTCTTTGTGACGTAGAAAATAATTGAAATCTGGATCCGTTTTTTTCAGATCCGTTTCAGCCCCTTTTTTAGAGATTTGGCGAAGGAGGAAAATAGAGAGGGTTGTGTTTTCTGACACTTGGTGAGTTCCCTGGAACACCGGGGACACATATTCATGTATAAAAGACGTACAAAGGTGCATTTTGCATGATAGGTCATTTACGGTACAAGATTTAATCATAAAGCCCATGTAGTATAATATTTTACAAATGATGAATTACAGCAAACATGTGCAATATATCCATTATTACAGCTCCGTGGGCTGGCAGTAAGGCGATATGTGTCCGTTGTTATTGTGCATCCATGGGTAAAGATAAACGCATGTGGCATGTAGTGCTGAACACGTAACATGAACGTGCAGGGGGGCGCGGTCCCGTGGGTTAGATGCGCGTTCATAATGCAGAGGGAAATAACTCTCAGAATAACGTTATTAGCACATTTTTACAACTTGAGGAACGAATGTTTTTAATAAGGGCTATACAAGTGTTCATACTGGGTAGTTTATTTAGTTTAAAAAAAATTATCCAACGATTTACAGACCACTCTTTCCCCATGTAAGTCAATGGGAAAAAGTGTTTCCGGGCCTGGCAACCAAACGGATGTGCAGTACCACCGTTTGGCCACCCCGAATATTTTCATCTGAGTCCGGCGCACTTCCTGGGGGCTTGGGTGCAAGCAGGCAGAGGGTTTAGCCGTACACCGTCTAGGTGTTGCTAAACTTCCTGTACTGAATATCATAGTCTATTGCCTTAATCAATATCTAGTCAACTCTAAAATACCACATATATGCAATGGCATGATAATATTATTGTGACAAGTGGGGTATTCACCTGGTGTTTCCAGAAATTAGACGTAGATGCAGCCAAAATCAACGCAGTCTGTAAGGGCAATCGGACAACCCACACAGCTCAAGTTTACGCTGGTAACGACCTAGAGCACACCCCTCAAGTCCAGAGATGTAATCCGAAGACATGCAGCGATTTCTTCGGTCGTTAATTCAGAAAAAAGTGCGCTCTGCCTGGCTACGTTAGCTAGCTGTTTATATTTGCACTTCCAGGATATTTGCACCTCCAGGAAAATGGCGTATTTATATATATATATATATATATGGCGCATGTTGCATTGTGGGTAGCTCGTGACGTCACTGTGTGTGAAAGAATGGCTTCAGTACGGTGGGATTTATAAAACGCTACCCTGACGTGTAGCTGCTGTTAGCTTTATTTATTTCTCTGACATGTTCCAATGTTTTACTGTTTATTAAACTTTGGGACAAAATTACAGCCTTTGTATTCAGCTCATGCTTCTTTGAGGTAGAGCAAAAGAAAAGCCTATTTTCAATATTTCCACCAGATTTGATCATCTTTTATTTAGGTTAAAGTGTATTTAATTTATCCTGATCCCATAATAATAATAAGACAATCACAAATAGACAGCAGCCTTTTGCTTGATATTAGTTTGTGCTGTCAAAGGGATGCAGGTGTGACTGTCATTTCATCTCTTTAGTTTTTAAAAAACCAGAACAGTACATCATTTTAAATGATCCTTTAGGGATTGTTTGTCTGAAATTCTGAGAGTTACATTTTGCAATAATACTTCTGCAACCCTGTGTTTAATATGATTAATTCACTTTTTTATTTTTTCTCTTGTTTTTCTCTGTAATTAGGACAATTCTGGAGAAATGGATCTGCTGGAGAAGGACTCCTAACCCCAGCGGATCATCAGGACAGAGCTGCCATCCACTTGGACCCCCCGAGGTGCTGGAGAAGGACTCCTAACCCCAGCGGATCATCAGGACAGAGCTGCCATCCAGCTGGACCCCCCCCCCCGAGGTGCTGGAGAAAGCAAAATGGCGATCAGAAACATCCTCCACCCAGACCTCTGCTTACTGCCGTCCTACAGACTTGTGTCTTAGTTTCAGAATTTGATTTTGTACGTGTCTTTTTTTTAAATAGATATTTAACGATTATAGCTTGAGTCTGTCTGATTCCCCAAACAGCTGCTTCTATATACTTGCTGCACATATAATACAAATAAACACACTTTTGCTGATATTTGTGTTACTGCTGGTGATGTTAAATAACATGATTGATTTCCTCTGTCTCAATGATGAAAGTTATAATAATAGAAGACATGAAGCTGCAGAGAGAGGATGGATATATTCTTACCTCTACTTTGTGATAAGATGAAAATACAATATTAAATTGTAATTGTTAAACACATTGTTTATTTCATTTACTGAGGTTTTATAACCATTATTTACAACATGTGTACATAAGCAGTGGAATAATAGGATATCTCTAGGTCATTCAACTGTCTTCAGTTTAATTTTTATTAATACAAAAAATAGGTCCTAGAAAATGTTTAATTGTGTATTTCAGCAGAGCGGGGGGGGGGGGGGGGGGGCACGGTGCTGCTGGACCTGGAGGTGCTGACCTGGGGTCAGTGGGACATCATCTGGGCAGGTTTAGGGGAAGAAGGAGAATATAAACTTATAATCACAGCTATTAAGATTAGAACACTACTATTGTTGACAATCAATCTATACAACATGCTTTTGTTCATTTAATTAGTACAGAACAATTAATTAATTAAATTAATTAAATATGAAATAATATGATTAACTTACATCAGCTATATATAATTGACTTGTTAACTTACTAATGTAACATTACTGGGGGCTAAAGGAACAGCTTCATCGTATTTACCTGGCCATCTTTAATTCATCGCCGATGGTGATCTCCAAAAAAATGTAAAAGTAAAGTTTCTGGATCCTTTTCAGCTGAGTTAGAATTTGCTAGCAGGCTGCTGGAGCAGCGCAACCGAACAGCGTGTATCACGTGACGTAAATACGAAGCCCTCCATAGGCTAGACCGTCTCATTTCGTAGGCCGCTCGGTCCAGCCTACGTGGGCTGGGTCCTCCGTGGACCGCGTAGGCTGCGTACCCCGAAGGATACAAGTACAACCCCTGAATTGAGACACGGCCACTGTCACTACCCGGGGCCTGTACTACGAAGCTGGTTCAACCTAACCTGGATATGTTTGAGTTAGCCGGTTGGCCTAATCCAAAACATACGCGCTCTCGCTAAACGGTACTACGACGCGGGTTATCAAGTGGATCGCTCAAGCCAGCCGTGCCCTATCTAGTTAGGTGCGCGTTCACATGAAAGGGGTGGTATCTGGAGCATTCGACCAATCACAAACATGGAGAAGCATACTGACAGCGCAGCGTCATACTTCCTGAATGAAAAGTCAACTATAATATTAGACATATGAAGAAGTTAAACTTTAAACATCCATGACTTAAACACTTTATCCAGGATCAAAGCCACAGAGCTGCACCTGCAATGTGAATACAGCTGGTAACAGAACAAGTGTTTGAATGCATACATTAACAGGTTTATGATCAAGGGTGCCAACCCTGTCTCCTAAAAATTACGTTCCCACAGAACTAAACTGCATTCTCAATTACGTTTAGCGAGAAACGTATTTTCTCCCACGTTACGTTCGTTATGAACGTATCTCAAATACGTTTATTTTCTACATATCTTCTAGAAACATATTTTCTCCCACGTTACGTTTCTTATGAACGTATCTTAAATACGTTTATTTTCTACATATCTTCTAGAAACATATTTTCTCCCACGTTACGTTTCTTATGAACGTATCTTAAATACGTTTATTTTCTACATATCTTTGCCATTTATTGTGTTGCTTATAATAATGATAATAGTCATTTATAAATATCATTTTAGCGCATACATTTGAAATCAGTAGGCGAGGCTGTAATTTCGCCAGCTGTTACTCTCATGAGCGAGACAGAAAATAATAGTTTTAACATGCCAAAAAGCTGCTGTGTCGTTTATTGCACCTCAAACATTAAAACAAATCCAGAGTTACGTGTTTCTGTACTTCCTCTAAGAAGAAAGGACAGTAACAGAAGATCTCTGTGACGCCAGATGTGGTGTTAATGCAATATGATATCCGAAAAAAAATTCAGTTTAGGATGGTCGAAGACACTACACTACCCATAATCCCCATCTATCGTTTGGGACTACAGTCCCGTTGACAAACCCCGTGATTAATCTTCAAGCTCTGGGATTGGATGTTGGAGTGGCAGTGCGCCAAGGTTACGCCGAGCGTCAAGCTCTTTGAAATGGAACGAAACCACGGCAGACTATTCAAAACTGGACTCGAACGCCCCCCGAGAACTACACATGCTGGCTATTGTGTTTCGCAACATGTTCTCTATGGCACGTCTCTACTGGGAATTGTAGTTTTAAAAGACGTTTTTGTTTTTCCCAAAATTAGAAGTTGACAGTATTAAACTGTGTACAGCCCTTGAGGTTTAGGGGATGGGAAACAAATTGGTGTGTACAAATTTAAAACATGTAATTACTAAATGGGTGAAAATCGCTTGTATCCATAATGGGCAGCATTAATATATACCCACATGACAGCTCATTGTTACTTTGTAATTCTACTCTACTACAATTCAGAGGTTAACCTGGTATTTTTACTCCACTACATTTATTTGAGTTACTTTGCAGATTCTGATTAATGATGTGAAATATAAACAACCCTTAAAGCAGACTTTAATTACACCTGAGTAAAATTCAAGGAAAGGTGATTGTCAAGTGCCAACAATCAGGAGAGATATTTGGCACTTGAGAAGACTAAACATTTATCTGCAGATCTCTATATAGTATATTCATTACTCATTATTCTCTACTAATAGTTAATTATATAATGGCTATTTTGCACATCCCTTTCAAGATTTTCAAAGGTGTATTGACATATCATATACACAACTACGGTGTAGTTATGCAATGAATGAAAAACTTGGGTCACAGGTTCCTCAACAGTGCATTACAAGACATCTATCAATATGTGTGTATACCTCCACCATTAAACTGTCAATTTCTGCACATTTCTTATACTATCTACATACATAAGAGTATAATTAATGTGTATAATATCAGTTAAAATAAGTGCTTCAACATAGTTAACATTGCAGGAAAGCAATATATTAGACCAGGGGTGCCCAACCAGTCGATCGCGATCGACCGGTCGATCGCGGGGAGATTCCCAGTCGATCGCGAGATGTGTCTAAAAATAGAATAACAATATTCTGTTTTATCGTTAATGTCCTATAACATAATCTTCCTGTGCCAGAATAATGTACTTGAACGCATCAAAGCTTTGTGATTGGCCGGCGTGACCCCAATGTGTCTGGGCGTGGCTGTTGGGCAGTGGGCACTATTTCGCTGATGTTGTCCATGTCAACAGGAGTACCGGAGCCTACACACGGCGGCGTGCGTTGCCGCTTCAACGCTTCTGCCCATTCACTTTGAATGGGGTGACGTCACGATTTGCCGAACTGCATTGTGGGAGCAAAGCGTAGCTTCTCTCGCGGTGCTCGCTGCAAAAGTAGAGCAATGTTCTACTTTTGCCGCCTCGACGGAGGCGTCAGCCAATCAAATCCCGCGTATGCAAATCTGACATTACAAGCGCTAGCCAATCAAACCGCGTGTATGTTGGGAGAGCCAGACCGCAGTTATTTCCCATATGTCAAAAAATGGAGGAGAAAATGATCGTGGCGGTACTATATGACCAGTCCCTCTTTACATACAGGGATACAAACCGGAGGAGCCAGGCATGGGGGGAGGTGGCAGAGACAGTGGGTGAAACTGGTAGGTGTTCGCCTGTTTGGGGAGTTTATATCCAGTGTACTTCGTTTGAATGGACAGCTAGCAAGCATAGACAGTATATTTAGCCAGCATGGATGTAGCATGAATGCTTTGCTTTGTATGTCCGGGGCGGGACATTCATGTGATTGGTTGTTGGTCGCGTTGTTCGTAAAAAATCCCCAAGCTTCAGACCGCCCACCGCCAAGCGGTAACGCACGCTGCCGTGTGTAGGGGCCGTCCGCAGTGCACACACACTACCGCAATTATGGCAGAAGCAAAAAAGCCCAAAATATATAATTTTCACTCCGAGTGGGAGGATGATTATTTTTGTATCTGTTCCAATTCAAAGTCCATCTGTCTCATCTGCAATGCGAGCGTGGCTTTATCGAAGAAGGGTAATTTAGGAGCGGCATTTCAAAACAGTGCACAAACGCTGCGAGACGGAATTCCCTCCTAATTCTGCCCTACGCTCCCAAAAGGGGAGGGGCCTGAAAGGACAGCTAAATGCACAGCAGTCCATTTTCATCAGGCCCAACAACAAGAGCAAGGCTGCTACCATAGCATCTTATCGTGTCAGTCACGTTCTTGAGAAACACATGAAGTCTTTCAAAGATGGCGAAGTTGTGAAAGAAGCTTTCCTGGAGGCTGCCGACGTGCTTTTGGGGGACAGTAAAAATAACAGCATTTCAGGTTTTTGATATAATAGATACCATTATTAATCAGCTGTAAGTTTTTGTTTGTTTGAACTCATTCATTATAATTATTGTACAAAATGGTATAAGAATGCAAACTTAAATTGATTATAGTCTATTATCAATTCAGGTTAAGAAACTAGTGTTGCTTGCATCCTATTTTAAAGGCATTTATTTGTATACTCAACTCAGTATTTACATTCTTATATTCAAAGAAAATCAGTATCTTTAAAAACTACACGTCCTTTTCTATAAGCTGTGCACCGTTATGGTGTAAATATAACCTATCTACCAATTGGATCAAATATACAAGTCAGCCAAATTACTATTGATACTGCAAGGAGACGTATTTTGTGAAAAGAAATGCAAGATGTTGTTTAATTGTTGATATATTTATGATCCGCGTCACATATTCAGTTTTGGCGGCAGTTCTTCAAGTTTGTCCAGAAGTCTTCTCATCAGGGATAATAAAGAACTACAGCAGATGTGTAATATTTAATGCAGCCGAACCGTGTATTACAATGCCGTTATGTGATGACTTCCAAAGAGAAAAGCAAGAACACTCGGAATAAAGTTTTTTTTATTTTTTAAATGTTTTCGGATAACATATCTTATTAACATCATATCCCAACATGCATTGCGGCTCCAATCAACGAGCTTCAAGCTGAGGA